CCTTTTTTTGCCGGGGCCAGGGGTGCCGACCCCCGGCCCCCGGGACCCCCGCCGGGGCCCCGGGGCCGGGGCTCGACAACCCTGCATGGGTGTACCACCTGCATTACTCAAGTACCAACGCAAGTTGGTCGTCAGCAGATAAACGCACACGTTGAGACTTTGGTAAACAAAGAAACAGCGGCAGCGCCGAATTCTGATATAGAGAACAGAGAACATAAACTTTAAGCACAGATGCGCAACCCCCACAACAACTTCCTTCGCGTCAACTTCTCGCCATGTGGCAAGAATCGAAGAGGATTAATGTCTCTACGTAACTCTATTAATAGTACGTTGACAGTTCTATCAACTCTATTCCACCCGACTCATCGCCATCGTCTTCCCGCATGCAACTATCCGCTCTCTCAGAACTTACTTCACTCTCCATATCATTCTCTTTAGCGCCGCATGGCGTGACTATAATACTATAGAAGTTTACTGTATGATCGCAGGAACTATCCCCGCGTGCCAGGATTATGAAGACTTTCGCGCCACTATCCCCCGCACTCTTTGCACCCTCTATCCTGACTACTTAGCTTCGCTTCCGCATCAAGATCATCGCCTCCCCCGCATTCATCGCACCATTCGCTACACTCGGCTTCCCACCGGAGACCGAGAGCTTCGACGCTTCCTGCTACCCCTCCCGCAAGCTCACCCTCCTCCTCCCCCTCTTGTCATAAGGCTGCCCTTCCCCGGTAACCCGTAAGATCCGGGACAGAACCTGCACATGCCACCTGGATGACTTCGACAGTCTTATCGCACCGTAATTGGCGTGTGTAAGTTCGACATTGGTTACTATTGTTTCCCCTCCTTCGAGGCCGCATCGTTGGGTGTTGTGGGTGCAAGTGGGAGCTTGCACAAAATTGGAACCCCCTGGGCATCACATATGTCACGATCTCTTTTCTGTAAGGACGCCATCTGCGCAGTAGTACTGAGGGGGGATGGAGAAGAAAGGACCGGGCCCGAGTGCAGAAAATAACGGTTGATGACAACATCTTTTCTTTCTTTTTGTTTTGTTGACGACGGAACTGGGCGGGGAATTTTTGGCGTGGTTACCGCGTGGGGAAGTTTATTGCATTTCTTTTTGAATTTTGAACATACACTTGTTCTCGGAATTGCTTTTTGCACTTAGGATTTTAATTAGGCTAGGAATTTGGGAGCATCATAATTTTGTAGCTCTAACGGCACAAGGCTCCCTATTGGCACGCGCATTACTGAGTATTGCCCTACGCCCTGCCCCCGCCGCGCCTAAGTTCTAATTGCGACTGTAAACTGCCTTCTTGCTCCTTCTTGGTGAGCGCATGTGTAACTGAAATCCTCTCACTTCTTGATATTTTCCCTTTCTTGCCGCGCAAAGTTCTCTGTGCCTCTTTTCCTGTCATCTCATTGGCCTGCAGGAGCATGACTGGATCGATGTGTGGAGAGTGGCTACGTCCCCCACGCCGCGACCCTGTAATGTACCCACAGGCACTTCCTCTTCTTGTCTGCTTCTCGCTTCAACATAATCTGGAATTACCTCACGCACCTACTAACTACTATAAAGATCGCATGCACGATTAATTCGCTCTCTAATCTACACTTGGGAGTTAGCGCGGTCAAGAGGATCGGATAACGAGCGGAGACAGAAAGGTGAGTAGGGAGTTGGGCGATCCGACGAGCTGGTGCCGGGTGTGCAGGGTTGACGTGTGGCCGCGAAGGACTGGCATACAGGCGAACCTGGCTTGCATACTTGGACCAAGCGGGGTGACAACTTCGGGTTGTTGATGGGTGCGAGGCGACGGGCTGCCCGCATCGTGGTAGAAAAACATGTACATACATGCCTGTTGGGTGAGAAAGTGGACTTGCAGATGTGGTTTTGCAGATGTGGTTTTGCAGAGTGCTGTACATACATGCCTGGTAGAAAAAAGGAAAGACAAAAAAAAAAAGAGAAAAAAGAGAAAAAAAAGAAAGAAAAAAAAAAAAACACTGTAACTGACTTTTTTTCTTCTTCTAAATTCACCAAGGTGGACTGAGTAAAAATTGCATTGCTCACTGGGTGAGAAAGTGGTTATCTCACTTTGACCATATGACATATCTCATCATAAAGCAGAGTCAAAATACATCCGACTCGGAGGGTCCAATCATCGGGCTTCGTCACGACGCCCGACCATCAGATAGTCCGACGTCAGGGAGACAAACACACGCTAAAACATTCTGTTTTTTTTCGTACACTCAATTTCGTGAATTTAGAAAAAAAAAAGGATTAATAGCAAAAATATTGCCCTTCCAAGTTTGGCAACAAAAATATCGTCCGTTCCAAGTTTCCTTTGCAAAAATCGGGTTCTCGTAGTTTGCCAGCAAAAATACCGCGTTTTGCCAAGTTTCACAGCAAAGGACCCCTAGACCCCTGGCCTCAGGGACTCAGCGTTCCGGCCTCAGGCACTCAGCTTTTCTCTTTTTTTTTTTTTTTTTTTTCCTGCGGGCATGGCCGAGGCATCTCGGCCGTGGCCACGTGTTACATGCTGAAAGCCTACACACGGGCCCCTCACGGGACCCGAGGTTGGAATAGGGCCCCCAGGTCGCGTCACCGCAACCTGAAGGCCCTATGGCATTTTTACTTGGGCCTGCATCAGAAAAACGCCAGCTTTACATTATTTTTATATTCTTTTATCTATTTATTTGCTGCTGTTTTTTTAACGGTTGTCCTGTTGCCCGTTTTGTGGCCAGGTACACGTCTTAGGACCAGGGCCAGATTCAGGCCCAGAGGCCGAGCTCCTAAAAACGTTTGGACCTTTTCTTTTGTTTTCGAACAGATTTCTACCTGTTCGGACCCAGGCCGACGTTGAGGCCGGGTACGTCCGCACAGGACCGGTTCGAAGCCAGGTACCAGGAAACTGCATCCTGGACAGGGACTGGACGTCCGGTAGGGACCCAGGCAGGCCGTTTTAGGCCAAGGACTGAACCAGTTTTCGAAGCCTGCGATCTGGACCGTGGATCGGAGTTTCGATCTGCACGGTCCAGAACGCAGGCCGTGGGTTTTCAGTCCTGGCCCAGCGCTACCTAAGCTGGGCCATTTCCCAGTTCGGACACAGAAGGTACCAGGAGAAATCCAGTGTTATGCTGGTTCATGAACTTTGCTGCTGTGGTATTCTGGAGACTCCCTGCTGCGCTATTTCGAGACTGCAGCTGCGCTGCTCATCGGCAATGAGGCACAGAGCTGGAGGAGTCCAGGGCCGAGGAGGGTAGTGGAGTTATATATATATATATATATATATATATATATATATATATATATATATATATAGAGAGAGAGAGAGAGAGAGAGAGAGAAGAGGACTTACCTTTACCAGCGCCATAGCTGGCTCCGCGGTACCTGCAAGTTCAGCCATCGCCAGGTAAGTGCAGAAAGCGCCTAACTTTCTTCTTCTTCTTCTTCTTCTTCTTCTTCTTCTT